AATTGCAGTTTCCTGTAATAACACCAGCGGAACTGCAAAAAACTGTGCTACTTGGAACATCTTATATTTTAAGAAGGTACTTGGTTGACGCTGGCAGCAAACTGTATCAACCATTAGCACCAGTCACTGGTATTTGTAATGCATTTTTGAATGTTCAGTTGGCTGAGTTTCATGTTTAATGAAGGAAGTATATAATAATAATATTTATTAAATCCTATATAATCCCATACCACTCCGTGGCCTTTCCCCACAGCTTAATTGAAGGGTTATAAATTTGCTTTCCTAATTGTCAGCACCCATGTGATAGCTCTATTGCTGCTGATCCCAGTCAGCTCAGGTGCCTCCAAGGTGATAGGTAACAATTATTATCAGATTTTCCATGTCTTCAGCTTACCCCTGGGCAGCGTCAGGATAAAATGACAAACATTACTTTAACTCCAGTGCAGCTAAGGACAGCTCAAGCCCGCCGTGCTCATGGGTTAAAGATGAGACGCATCGTGAAACATAGAAAAAAAAGAGAGATGTTGTCCAGGCAAGTTTGCACCATGAAACAAGTCCCGTAATTACTTCATTTAATGCAACATAGACGGATGTCATCATTTTAATGTTTACACTGCTGGTATTTATTTTATAGGAATTGTTACGGTTAACCAAGGACTGATCCTACTTACTGTAGCACAAAAACACCTCGGTAAGCAGTTTTACGAGAGCTGTGCCCCTGACATTGCCTCTGTCTCATCCCTAACCTACTGCAGAGAGACGCTGAATAGTCTTTAGTTCTTTTGGTATTACAGAGCTTTTTCCCCCCGTCTTCTCCCGACACAAAACGTACAGTATAGACAATTGATGTCTTGTTGAAATGCTGGCAGTGGCATGATCAGGGACTGGGATCTGCCCAACTCCTACTGGCTATTGAAGTCATTCCTCCCCACCACGCCACTGGGCACAGGCCATTCTCTCTGGTCCTTAGGATTTAAGGGGGACTGGATGGCCACTTCTTCACAGCTATGGGCAGACTGCCTATCGTGGTATCTACATATACACAGGCCTAAATACCTTCTGCAAGACCAGATTGGCTTCTACTTATACAGCAGTCTTTCAAAAGAACAATGGAAAGAGGATTATTAGTTCATTTAAACCAGAGATGTGTTGGTGGCTTTGTTCTATATTAGTACATTAAAAGTTTTTTTTTAATAGCGCAGATGAACATGTAAGCTGTTCTCATCCTGGCTTTATTATAATTTATTAGAAGGTGGTGCACTGCTATTGGGCTATTCCAACCCCATCTTACGTTTTCTCTGAGTAACTTTCTTGTATTGCTGATTGTGGCCTCCAACTTTATACATACCTCACATTTCAAGCAGTGAAGTTCACTTTTTTGTCTACATGAGGGTATCAGTTATCTAGAAAAATCAATATTTGTATGTGTCTGTATTATCTTGGTTTAGAGTGTGGGTAACAATGTGGGTATAGGAGAGGCAGAGTGAGTACTATTTCTGATGTGTCTAGAAATACATTCCCAATTATTTTTCTCCACAAGTGGGTTTACCTGCCCAATATATTCAGTTGCACTGATTCTGGCATGCCATATAGTCAGCCCTGCATTTTTTTTCTGAAAAGATGACACTGAATTCAATGAAGCCTATATCCAAGTACAACACATAAATTTTTAAAAAGTAAAAGTTACCACTTCTCTCCCCCCCCCCAATAGTTCATGTCTAAATAAACTTGCAGAAAAATCCACCCCAGCTTTAAATTACCCTGATTAAAAGAGTGCTAAAATAATACAAGTAAAACTTCAAAAGGGGGAGGGGAGTGTGTCTTAAATTATTTCTTAAGAAAAGCACCGGCAGGGTTTTTCCTTTAATCCCCCTGGCTGGTGATCCATTTTCCTTTTTATGTCTCTGAAAGAAAAAGGGGGAAAAGGAGAGAAAACCCTGCACTTTCCAGAAAATATAAGTAAGATGCTCCATGGTCCCGGGTTAATTTTTATCAAGCGGGAAGATACATTAATGCAAGTTTGGTGGATCAGCGCCTAAGTTTAAGGGAGATTCAAAGGACATACTAGGGAGGTTTCGGGAGGCAAAATCCTAACGGGAAAAGCGAAGGGGGCCACCGCTATAATTCATTTGGGGGGGGGGGTTAAAAAAAAGTGACGCGCTGCTCTTTCGGGCTGGCGCCTTCCCTGCCAGGGTGTCAGGGTGTTAAGTGAGAAAGGATCCCCTCCTGGAGGGAGATTTTTAAGAGGGAGAAGGGACGCTGAGGCGGCTTGGCCTTGGCCTCCCCCGCCACCGAAGGCAGGCATGAACTTCCCAAGCCCCAAAACTCCGCGGCCTCCGCGCCATCAAGCAGCAACCCCTCCGGCCGAGCGGCAAACGAGAGACATGAGCGCTTGCCTTCCCCACCTTCTCTCGCCTTTTGTCCCCTCCTTCCCGGGAGGCGGGAACTCTCGGATCCCGCCTCCACGGGAATCCTAAGACTTTCCAAGGACCCTGAAGTGCGGTGGAGAAACGGGGGGGAGGAGGCGGAGGGCGAAGAAGGGGAGCCGCAGCTTAGTGGGGCTGATTTTTTTCCTCTCTCTCTCTCTCTCTCCTCCGTCCCCTCCACCCAGCCCCTCTCGCTAAAAGCACGATGCTGGTGTTTATCCTCTCCCGGCGAGCTCGACTCCTTTTTCTCCTTTCGATCGACTGGCTCCAGGGCGGACAGTTCTCGCCACAGCCGAATCCCGAGAACCCCAATTAGATGAGCGCCATCCTCAAGTTTAATAAAAGTGAAGTCGGGGAAGGCGGTGTGGGGGGAGGAGGAGGAGGAGGAGGAGGAGGAGGGGAGCAAAGACCTCGGGAGTTTTGACAATAAACCACCTCTCCTCCCCTCTCCGCCCCCCCCTCCCCAAGCAACTAGAAGGGAGGACTTTGGGGAGGGGTGCCAAGGGGGGGTGGAAAGCTCGATCGCTGCAACCAAGCGGCACAAACCACCATGCAGCTGGTGTTATGGGCGGTAGGATTAAGCACGCTACTCCTGCAAGACTTCTTGAATAGAGCCGGCGCAGCAACAGCAGCAGCAGCAGCAGCCAGAAAGCAAGGGAGGCATCTCCGACAAGGTAAGATGCTTGGCAGGAACTGAAGAGAGGTCGCAAGAGCAGAGCGCGGAGTTGTCGGAAAAGAGAGCCAGCGACTTTGGCGTTACTTTGTGTGAGGTCAGGTTGTGTTTCCTTTTTCTTCTTCTTCTCCCCCCCCCAAGCCCATTCTTTACCCCCCCCCCTCCCTCTAACACTGCCGCAGGGGAGGAAAAAAAAGGGCAAAAGCTCAGAAAGCGGCGTTAAGCCCGTTGAAGTTCTGTCTCTCCAGTCGACCAGCAGCTCCGCCTACAAATGTATGCTAATTTTATTCATGGTGGCTCTTTTCGTGCATGTCCTAGAAAGCACCGATCAGGGAGTCACCAAGTGTCCTCTTGCCACCCCGAAAGGGAAGAGAGAGAGGGAGAGAGAGAGAGAGAGAGACAGATAGAAGAAAAAAAACACCACCCCTTCACCATGCATAACTGCAAGAATATCTCTTGATATTTTGGCCTTTTGCATTAAAGCTAATAAGGTGTTTTATTATTATTATTAAAATTATTATTATTAAATATTGCCAAAGAGCACAGTTTAAAACTCTTATTGGGGACAGTATTCTCTGAGAGTATGAGAAGCTTCTTGCAAAGCTTTTTTTAAAATACCTATTTCCTATATGATGAGTTTATATATTAATAGTATTAATATTAATAGTGAACAACTATTGGGTTCCCACCTGTAATGCTGCAGGGGCCCCTTTTAGAAGTAGTATTTGAAGGTCCTAACTGAGTTTCTTTTTATGCTGCTGACTGTGTGTGCTGTTCTCGGTGTTTAGCTTGGTTACATAAAGGCTAAAAATGAATTCAGCATCCTTTGCTGCCACTTTCTAAAATGCCAGCTTTTCACCTATGAGACTTTACATAACTTTAGGAATGTTTCGGAACTGAGTTGAGTTGGTAAAGGAAGGTGTTTGATTTGGCTGATAAAGTTTTAGAAGGGTTCCAACAAGAATATTTCTTCCTAACTGGCTAAATTCATCTCCCTGTTGGACCAGCGCTGTAAAAAAAAGTATTGTTAAATACTTTTTGCGCATGCGTGCGCACTCCCACACCCCATATCCATTCATGGGCACCTATGTCAACTTTTCACAGCCAAACTGCTGGAGACGCTGAGAGAGTATGAGATTGTGATCCCGACCCGTGTGAATGAGCTTGGAGAACCGTTGCCTACAAAGGTGCACTTTCAGAGAAAGAAACGAAGCCTTCGTTCAGAAGCTCAGCCTTCGATTCTGGATGCTCCCTCTTCTCCCATCGCCTCCTCTTCTTTCAGTACCACCCAAGTGCATTATAGACTGCAAGCCTTCGGGCAGCACTTCGTTTTCAACCTCACGGCCCATTCGGGATTTATTGCCCCTCTTTTCACCGTCAGCTTCCTTGGACAACCCGAGGTTAACCAAACAAACTTTTACACCGAGGAGGAAAGTGATATTAAGCACTGTTTCTATAAAGGACATGTCAACACGGAGCCCCAACATACAGCAGTCATAAGCCTGTGTTCTGGGATGGTAAGTGTGTAATCCTCCTGCTGAATTCAGGGTTTTGTTTACAGGATGCAAACCAAGAGCTTCTTAAGAAAAGATCTCAATTCCCAGCTTTGGATCTTGCTAGGAGAGTGGGAAGCACATTCTGTGTTAAAACCCTTTTTCTTTCTTGTCTTCTCCACGGCTTTCTTGGTTTTGATTGCAACAAAACTTAAAAGCACAGCAAAACTTTCTTCAAAGTTTCAACAGGGTGCCTTTCTTTCCCCCCGTTCTTTCCTAACCCCTGCCTAGCCACTTTCTTTCTGTTAGATTATAAATAACTTGTATCTAGCGGCAGGAAACTTAAGAAATCATTACTGGAGTATATGGCAAAACCTCAAGAATCAAAGGCTTTGCTTTTAAGGAGCTCTCAGTTTGATTGATGGGTGGGGAGAGAAGACGGGAGGGAAGTCTTGGGAGGTGCCAGCAACATGCAGTAGTCCTGAACCATTTCTGTACTTTCTTTCTTAAGGGTCATCCCCGACAGGTATTTTGGGAGCCTTGTTTTGTGCACTTGGCAACAGCTGTGTCCCTGAAGACTTTCAACATCTTAACATTAAGGAGACGCTGATGTTTGCCAGTGAAAACAAGGGAGGTGGGGTTTATCCCAGGTGGCTTTGGGGAAGAAGGGGCCACTGAGTGGGTTGGCGAGGAGCATTTGAGTCTGAACTGCAAACAAGGGTGGCACTTGGAGGCTGAGAGACATTTAAGGTGGAGAGAAGGCAAACAGAAACTGTGTAATTGATTCCTTCTCCCTCGCTCCCCCTAGGGACGAAAGTTTACTCCAGGCAGCTTGGAGTGCCAATGCTAAGAGCCAGTCGCTCCCGTTTAATGGACTGAAAAAGGCAAGGAATTGTCAGCATGCAATACATTTGGACTGAGAGGAACCATTCCCACCACCCTTGGAACAGTGAAATGGTTTAGAAGTGAAGCAGTTGAGGGGGGAGAGTAAAGGAGAGGCTTTCAAAGCACCAAATCAGTAATTTGATTTTACTCCCGTTCCGCTTGAAAACTTATGCTCTAAGCAGCTCAAAGTTTGTTGTGGAGCTGGAGGGGTGGGGGGGAGGGTGGAATCATAGCTTAGTAGCTGTCTGCTCTGAGAGGTGAAGAAGTATGGGTTTGGTTTCCTCCAATAGATTTTCAAGATCTGTTCTGCAAATATAATTGGGTTTGGGGTGGGTGGGTGAGGGAGCTAAGCTTTTCTTTCCTTCTTCGGTACTCTAAAAAAAGGATGCAAGCTGCTGAGTTTAGCTATACTTACCAGCCAGGCCGAATTGTCCAGTTGGCAGTGCCCTACATCAAACAGGAAGGGGCTGCAGGAATGGGAAGCCCCCATTCACCACCACCGCTACCCCAAAACCATCTTGATTTCCTCCAGTTTGTACCGTGATGGTCACTTTCTGGGCTTGTTGTTGTTATTGCGATGTTCTGACGCTTGACGGGTGGGGCAGAGGAGGAGGAGGGCCGATACCGCCCCAGCATTCTCCCAAGGGAACCAGCAGGGCTGGTGGGAGTGTGTTTTTCCAGCCCTCCAGGCAAGGATTGCAAACAGGGTTGAAGCTGAAGAGGGAAACAGTTCACATCCACTTCCTGGTAGATAAGGCACTGCAGGACTTGGCATTTGCTTTCATGGAAGATCAACCTTAAGGAAGGCCGGAGGCCAGGCTCTTTTATGGAGACTTAAGGTGGAAAGAAGAGAAGGTTGTCCAGAGATAGGTCCAAAACGAATTAGGACAGGAGGAGCCCTCCCCCAAACTTGGAAGTAACCCATGGAATGAGGGGGAGGTAAGACTTTGTGGTATAGCATCTGCCTTTAGTGTGTGCAGTACGGCAAACAATGCCCTCTTGCATTTATAGGATGTTTAGAGCAGTGTTTCTGAATTTTGTGTAGAAAGACACAGTGGATCTTTTCAATTTTTTATTAGAATAGAAGGAGCAGGTGTTTTTTTAAAAGACTTCTCTTATTTTATCAAGGAAACTCTTGGAAGGAGAGAGCTCCCAATATCTGTAAAGTAAAATCATCCCTTTCACCCCTAGTCTGCATTTTTTTGTTACATACAGTCCTGAACTTGTGTTTGTGAGATACTGGCCTGGTGAAAGATGTGAAGGGGTCAATACAATTATACTGCCTCACCTTAGGTCTCCAGGTTAATTTTCACTTAATATAAGAGAAAAATAAATTTAAAAAGTGAAAATTAACTGGGAGATTTTTTTTTATAATTCAAGGTGGTGAACATATATTATACTCATTCCTGCTCCTATTTTCCCCACAACAACCCTATGGAGGTGGGGTGGGCTAAGAGAGAGTGAATGGCCCAGTGTCACCCTGCCAGCTTTCATGGGTAAGGTAGAACTAGAACTCACAGTCTCCTGGTTTCCCACCTGGTGCTTTAACCTCTAGACCAAACTCCTTTCCAAGACATTGGATGAGCAACTAATTTGGGAGGCGGGTTTCATAAATTATGCCAACCACTCTCCAAATAGTATGCCCCAGATTTGTTGAGCATAATGTAGGGTATTGTGGGTCTACAACAACTTGCCAAACTTACTGCAGCCAACATGCCACAGCCAACTCACTATGGGATAACTCTACATGGCCAACTCGCCATGGGACAATTCGCTGTAGGACAAGAGTTATACTAATATCAAAGAAATAGTGGAATAGAATCATTAAAGAAAGGATGCCAAAGGAGGGACAAAATGATATGTAAATGACAAAAATTACAATAATTTTGTAATTACTTAAAATGATTAAATTGAAAGGTTGAATTGTCCCACAGCGAGTTGTTGTGTGATGAGTTGACCATAGTGAGTTGTCCTGCAGCGAGATAGTGAGTTGGCCATGGTAAATTGGCTGTGGTGAATTGGCTGTGGCAAGTTGATCATGGTGAGTTGAATGGCAAGTTGGCCGGCAAGTTGGCCATGGTGAGTTGGCTGGCAAGTTGGTCATGGTGAGTTGGCTGGCAAGTTGGCCATGGTGAGTTGGCCATGGTGAGTTGGCTGTGGTAAGTTGGCCATGGTGAGTTGGCTGTGGTAAGTTGGCCGTGGTGAGTTGGCTGCGGTGAGTTGGCCATGGTGAGTTGGCTGTGGTAAGTTGGCCATGGTGAGTTGGCTGCGGCGTGTTCTCCCATACTGTGGGATTGTGGCAGTGTCTGGAAGGCCTTATTGCTGGACAAGCTGGCAT